TGAACAGAGCTCCCCCTGTGGGAGTGCACTGACCACCAGGGGGCAGCTCCTGCATTGAGCATCTGCCCCCTGGTGGTCAGTGTGTGTCATAGTGATCAGTCATTCCCAGTCATTCTGCTGTTAGGGTCAATTTGCATATTACCCTTTTATTATATAGGAATGCCTGGCCAGCCTGGGTGAGGGGCTGATGGCTGTTTGCAGGCTGGCCACAGCCCCTTCAGGCTGGGGGGTCCTGCTGGGGTGCCTGGCCAGTCTGGGTGAGGGGCTGAGGGCTGTTTTCAGGCTGGCTAAGCCCCCCAGCAGGGACCCTCACATCATGAGGGTTTGGCCAGCCTGGGTGAGGGGCTGATGGCTGTTTGCAGGCTGGCTGCAATCCCCAGCCACCCAAGCTCCCAGAGGCTGACTACTGGAAGCAGGTATCTGGGATTTATTTATCTTCTATAATTGAAACTTTGTTGCCATGAGCTGAGTCCTCAGCTGGCTCAGGGCTGGTGGGAAGCTTGGCTTCCTCCATCGCCTGGGCAACCAAGCCTCCAGCTTGCTCCAGCTCTGTGGCTGCCGGCTGCTATCTTGGTTGGGTTAATTTGCATATAGTCGCTCTGATTGGCTGGTGGGTGTGGCTTAGGGCATAGCAAAGGTATATATATATATATATATATACACAGACTAGGGCCTGCTGCACAAAATTTGTGCCCTGAGGGGGGGTCCCTCAGCCTGACCTGTGCCCTCTCGCAGTTGAGGAGCCCTCGTGGGATGTCCAGCTGATTGACAGGCCTGTGGGAGCAGGCCTAAGCCGGCAGCCGGGCATCCTTAGTACTGCCGCAGAGGCCATGAGCCTGGCTTCTGGGTGAGCAGCTCTCCCCCTGTGGGAGTGCACTGACCACGAGGGGGCAGCTCCTGTGTTGAGCATCTGCCCCCTGGTCTCAGTGCACATCATAGTGACCAGTCGTTCTGCTGTTCGGTTGATTTGCATATTAGCCTTTTATTATATAGTATGATTTTGTTGATGAAAGTTAGATAGTCTGGATATAATTTGAAAAATTAATTGACGTTTAGACTAAGCCAGTAGGTATACTTTAGCCTAAAGAATTTCAGTGATAATAGTACCTTCTGAGAACTTCACTAATACTGGTTTCCAAATCTTCTTTCTATTGACACCTCAGATCCTCCAGCTGATCCTAATCAAATGCCACCTCTTCTACCTCAGAAGCTTGTTTTCCTTAACAGTTTACAAACTCTCTCTTCCCTTCTACTAATATGTTCTTACCTAATTGTTTTAGAAATTCTCCCACTAATATTTTGGAACTAAAATTGGGCAATAATAATTGTGATTATAGCTATGATTGATAGAGGCTTTATTGCATGTTCAATATTAGCTATGTTTTTTACAGGCATAGTGTCATTTATCCTATGTGTAACTATTATATGGTTCCTTATTTCTAAAATAATATTGAAAGAAGTTAAATCAGGTATCTAATAAGTATCAAGTAAGTATCAGAGTCGGGAATCAACTATTAGTCCCATTTTTAAGGCTATACTATATTGCTTCTCTAAATTCTTGGCTTAAAACTCAACCAAGATGAATCAGACCTGTATTGAATAAAAGCTACCATTCAATGTGTTGATATGACAGGAGTTGGATGAGTTGAGATGGGGAAATGATAAAGAGATATTATAAAATATCAAGCAGAAAAATAAAAAATGAGTTATTTTTTAAGACATAGATTTTATTAAAGTATAGACCATGGATTTGCCTAAAAGAAAATATACCACTACACATGTACCTCATGTTCAAACAACAATAGCGTATGAAAATCCAAAATTATAAAAACAGATAAGTCATAAAGATTATTTTTGTATTGCCTAAGAATTTATCTCATCACAATAGGATTCAACCAGAATTTCTCCCTCTATGAATTTAAGATGTTAGATATATCAGCTGTTTACAAAGGAGCTAAGGTATGTGCAGAGAAACTAAGTATTGCTAAAAGCTAATAGATATTAAGACATTAAATACCAGAAGTTTAGTCTATAAATACAATTTAAATACAAATTTTCAAGGACATCTATGATTGTGGAACAAAGCAGGGTTTACTCTATTTCCAGCCACTATTTAGTTAATGTAAAAATTACCTCAACCAGGCTACCCCGGAGGCTTTTAAAGAACTCCCCAAAAGGCAAGCACAATTTGTTAAAAGAAAATAAAAGATCTCAACTGGTTTATATCTACAGAGAACAATTTCCTGTGACACAATTCTGAGACAGATGAATACGGTTGCAGTCCAATATATGGATGAACACAGACTTAATTATGGTGAATCATTCCTATGTGATATTCTTTGCGGGGGTGGGGGGACCTATCTCCACAAAAAAAGTTGTATCTTTTTAGGAAGGCAAACTATTGACATACTTTGGGTAGCTAATCCGCAAGACACATTAATATACAGCATATGAAATGCATTTTCCCTTGGGCAAGGAGAAGAGAATCTATTGCATATGTCATCTGTTTCTGTGAATACTGAAGATTACAATTATGTTTTGATGTTAATCCAACTACTGCAAATTTCTTGTTGCAAAGCACACTGTGGAAATGTGAGTGACAATATAAATCTTTTTAAATTGAATTCAACACTATTGAAAAGAGCTGATGTTTTCAAATACTGTTACAAAGCCTCTGAACAACAAGAATAACCCTCTAAATGAAGCAGCTTCCTATAGTGACCTAGTTGATAAGAAAGACAAATAGCCAGGATAAAATCACATTCTGCATGTCTGCTATATTTTGTGTGTGTGTGTGTGGGGGGGGGGGGGGGAGGTTACATATTTTAGAAATAATTACCTGTAATGACTTGATGTCCTCATAAGCAAATTGCACACTGGGAACTCCAAGGTGGTTGATGAAATAATCCGCATCCCCTTGTATCTGTATGGAACTGACATTGGATTCTGGGCACTGTGCTCTTCTGAAACAGTTGAGAATATTTTTCTGAAAAACATAATTTACATGGTTAGCACGAACTCAGCTTCTCGGGGCATCTCTAAATGAATGCCACTCCAAGTGTGGTCCATAGGTCAGCAGCGTGGATGTCACCCGGGAACTTATTCAAAGTACAGATGCTCAGGCTCCACCCATGCCCTCCTGAATGGGAACCTCCAGGATGGAGCCAGGGATCTGTGTTGTAACTCTCTTCTATGATTCTGGATTCTGATGCTCACCAAATGTGCCTAGTGCTGGCCTAAATCTAACTGCTTGTTTTTGTTGCTTCAAAAGCATTTTTTATCATGGAATTATTACAAACCATCATAACTTTAATTTGATGAACAAAAACAGATCCAGAGGCAGAGAAACATTGATCAGACCATCAAACCTCAGAGGGAAGGTAGGGGAGCGTGGGGGTGAGGGGGAGAGATCAACTAAAGGATTAGTATGCATGCATATAAGCCTAACCAATGGACACAGACAACAAGGGGGTGAGGGCATGAGTGGGGGGTTGGGGGACAATGAGGGGATAAGGACACATATGTAATACCTTAATCAATAAAGAAATATAAAAAAAGAATGTTGAGTCCTTTAAAAAGGTCTAGTTTTACTGTTCTTTTTGTTTTCCCATGAATTTAAATCTAAAGGATGGTTTGATAGGACACAATTCCACTTTCCTAAATATGGTTTTTTGGAAAACACAGAAGGAATTTTCTCCATTTCTATTTAAAAGCATATTCCCACACATTTGAGGAATATATGACATCAACTCTGTGGGACATTAAGAAACTCTAGGGAAATATATAAGGAGATAGGATATTATTTCTTACACTAAGAGTTGTCTAGCATGCACAACACATATGAGTGAGCAATAACATGAGGACACCATGTCTAATAGGCAGATAGTACAGTTGTCTGTATGGAAAGTAATACAATCTATAATAATAAAAGCATAATATGCTAATTAGACCGGATGTCCTTCAGACGACCTTCCGGACGAAGCCAGGCTGCTAGGGAAGCCCAGGTCCTGGGTTGCTTAGGGAAAACAGTGCCGGCAGCCAGGGGAAGGAAGGCCTACTCTTGCACTAATTTCATGAATCAGGCCTCTAGTAATTAATAAATAGTACTACAAGAATAAACTGTTTCACGTGGTCACAAGTGTAACTTTTGCCCCAACCTGAATGTCCTCCATACACATTTGCTATTGAATCAAAAATCAGTGGATGCCTCAACCTCCCTCCCCATCTTTCTTTGGCATAATACAATTTCAAAAATACTTTTAAATATAATATATGCAAATATTTTAAATATGCAGTTGAATATTCATAGAGCAAATTTTTTCCACTTTTCAAGTAAAATGCTAGATTTTTCAAACCCATAATAATGTTTCAAGATCTATTCAATATTCTTTGAGAGTCTAATAGAAATATCTTTGTAACAAATTAAAATCAATTAAAATGGAGACCCTGAGTATTTATAAACAAGGCAAGGTATCAGCTTAAGTTATTTACAAATAACTTGGATAATTAAGCACTTTGCAAAAAGAAAGTAAAAAGAGAGTCCTACCATATAGTCTAATCAGTAGCAACCTAATGCTTTTTATAGTTAATCTCACCAACTTGCTTCTTTTGAAAGCCCGGTTTTCTGAAAATAGAGTTAATCCTTTTTCACTTCCTGATAGTCTACTGGGGTGAAGACTCCTAGAGTTCTTATACCTGGAAATGTTTAGGTAAGGTATTAAATATTCCCAAAGAAGAGCTACCCTTAGTACTAGATAACGAAAAGAAAAACAAACAAACAAACAAACAAACAAACTACTTTACTAGTATATCATTTTAAAAATACCAAGTAGCACCGAGAGATCCAGGTGTTAAAAAACTGGCTCCTAGGAAGGAATTTCTTTAGCCAGAATGAATGTTTTTAAATTTAACTTAAATGTCTTGGTCAGGCAAGTTTTTGACCAATGTCCCATCACTAGTGTCACACTCAGCCTGCTTCACTCATTCAAATCGTGGCCAGAAGCATTTGAGTTTGTGAAACCTAAACAGTTGTACTCCTCAATATTATTAATAAAGATTTCATAGAATCTAGTCTTTTCTTTCCCCAGATGTCTAGCCAATGAAATTAATAATCTTTTAAGTGATCTACTTTGCCTTTACTGCAGCCACATCTATATCTTTTTGAGACATCTTATATATTCTACTCAACCTCAATAAAAATACAGGTTTGTTTTTAATGTAATTTTGCCTACATCATTCTTAATATCCATTGCAAATGTCAACCACATCCCTTACAAATAATTGTTTTTCTCACAGAAGAATTACATGGCTCGAAAACTGACAATTTTAAATTCTACAATATGTTTCTGTGAAAGAATTAAAATTTTAAAAATAACATACATATTATTTGTATAAATATAATATTTTATATTATTTTTATTCAGTCATAACTATTATAGCTTCCCTCTGACAAAAAGTATTAGCTTCCCATATATGCAAGTCCCTAAAAGGGCACAGTGACCCCATTCCAATCAATCCTTGTGTTCTTTGTCTGATGTACTAGTTACACAAAGATCAGTTCTTATTCACCCTCATCTTGGAATTGGTTCAGGGCATTTTATCTGAAGCCAGTACAAATTCTCTTCTATTCTTTCTGCTTGCCGCGGTTACTCCCATTATACACCTTTAATATTTCCATTGCATGCCATGATCTCTAACACCTTGATTTAATGATTAGTGCATTATTTCTTCCATGTTTTATGATTTTTAGACAAGCCAAATAGGCACTATCCAACCTTTAAGATGATATACCCTAAAATACTTCTGCATTCTTTCCCCTAATCTGGCTTGCTTTTATTAATTCATTTATTGAAAAGTTTTGTCTCTGAAGTTTCATATTGCCACCTTGTCCTATATAATAAAAGGGTAATATGCAAATAGACCGAACGTCAGAACAACCAAACAACCAATCAAAGTGTAATATGCTAATATTGCCACCTTGCAAAGGCTGCTCAACTGCTTGCTATGACCTGCACTGACCATCTGGGGGCAGATGATACAATCAGTAGGTTAGCTTGCTGCTGGGGTCCAGCCAATCAGGACTGAGTAAGATGGGTTGGACATGCTTTGGAATCCTTCCACAGTCCCCCCCAGGCCTGATCGTGAACCATTGGGGTCCCTCAGCCTGGCCTGCACCCTCTTTCAATCTGGGACCCCTTGGCGGATGTCAGAGAGCTGGTTTCAGCCCAATCCCCCAGGCCACTCCCCTTGGGAGGGTGCCAAACAAACAAACAAACAAACAAACTACTTTACTAGTATATCATTTTAAAAATACCAAGTAGCACCGAGAGATCCAGGTGTTAAAAAACTGGCTCCTAGGAAGGAATTTCTTTAGCCAGAATGAATGTTTTTAAATTTAACTTAAATGTCTTGGTCAGGCAAGTTTTTGACCAATGTCCCATCACTAGTGTCACACTCAGCCTGCTTCACTCATTCAAATCGTGGCCAGAAGCATTTGAGTTTGTGAAACCTAAACAGTTGTACTCCTCAATATTATTAATAAAGATTTCATAGAATCTAGTCTTTTCTTTCCCCAGATGTCTAGCCAATGAAATTAATAATCTTTTAAGTGATCTACTTTGCCTTTACTGCAGCCACATCTATATCTTTTTGAGACATCTTATATATTCTACTCAACCTCAATAAAAATACAGGTTTGTTTTTAATGTAATTTTGCCTACATCATTCTTAATATCCATTGCAAATGTCAACCACATCCCTTACAAATAATTGTTTTTCTCACAGAAGAATTACATGGCTCGAAAACTGACAATTTTAAATTCTACAATATGTTTCTGTGAAAGAATTAAAATTTTAAAAATAACATACATATTATTTGTATAAATATAATATTTTATATTATTTTTATTCAGTCATAACTATTATAGCTTCCCTCTGACAAAAAGTATTAGCTTCCCATATATGCAAGTCCCTAAAAGGGCACAGTGACCCCATTCCAATCAATCCTTGTGTTCTTTGTCTGATGTACTAGTTACACAAAGATCAGTTCTTATTCACCCTCATCTTGGAATTGGTTCAGGGCATTTTATCTGAAGCCAGTACAAATTCTCTTCTATTCTTTCTGCTTGCCGCGGTTACTCCCATTATACACCTTTAATATTTCCATTGCATGCCATGATCTCTAACACCTTGATTTAATGATTAGTGCATTATTTCTTCCATGTTTTATGATTTTTAGACAAGCCAAATAGGCACTATCCAACCTTTAAGATGATATACCCTAAAATACTTCTGCATTCTTTCCCCTAATCTGGCTTGCTTTTATTAATTCATTTATTGAAAAGTTTTGTCTCTGAAGTTTCATATTGCCACCTTGTCCTATACAATAAAAGGGTAATATGCAAATAGACCGAACGTCAGAACAACCAAACAACCAATCAAAGTGTAATATGCTAATATTGCCACCTTGCAAAGGCTGCTCAACTGCTTGCTATGACCTGCACTGACCATCTGGGGGCAGATGATACAATCAGTAGGTTAGCTTGCTGCTGGGGTCCAGCCAATCAGGACTGAGTAAGATGGGTTGGACATGCTTTGGAATCCTTCCACAGTCCCCCCCAGGCCTGATCGTGAACCATTGGGGTCCCTCAGCCTGGCCTGCACCCTCTTTCAATCTGGGACCCCTTGGCAGATGTCAGAGAGCTGGTTTCAGCCCAATCCCCCAGGCCACTCCCCTTGGGAGGGTGCCAGACACAGGGCTTATGGCTGGCGAGGGCTGCTGGGGCAGCAAAAGCCTCTCCTGATCGGGGCTGATTGGGCGTGAATCTGCGGCATGCACAGTGGGGCCAGGATGAGCAGGAGTGACAGGTAGCAGCTGAAGGTGGCATTGGACTGCAGGTTTCAGCCTGATCCCTGCAGGCTACCCAGAGGGATCCCACATGTGCATGAATTCGTGCACTGGGCCTCTAGTTCCTACATAAGCTCCTT